GATAACGCGCTAGAAATTCTTGTCACAGATTTGAGAAAGAAACTTTGAAAGCTTTGTTTTGATTTGAATTTGCGGCATTTTCTTGTCTTATAAATATGTACGCCCTATTACGTCTTTTTTTTCATGTTAGCTCTTTACGCTCTCGTCCTTTTATAAACTGAACACATTCTGAATATTCAGTGTTTTCTTTTTAATTTATTTTTCTTTGTCCACGAATATTCGGCTAAAGTTATATCACAGTCAAGTACTTTTGAAGTAAGCCCTGTCCTTTTTGTCTGCTTTTTGTAGTTCTCTTTTTCTAAGCTCGGTAGAAAAAACATGATCGCAAATGTCAACAACTGAAAATTGCTTTCATCTTTCGAGTTTTTCGAGTCTGTATTGAATCCAGATTAAAGACTCTTTAAATTATTGACTTTTGAACCCCGCAGTAGCCTTTGTTCGCATTTCAGAAGCGAAAAAATGTGCCTCTTTTTTTTTCCTCTTTTTCTACGGACTGTCGGTGGGAAGCCAGGGCCGAATCTCATGATACATTATCCTATGTGATATCTGATATACATCAGTAACATAAGGTCAAAACTATGAAATAAATTTGTTTACTTTTTTTGCATCTTAATACTATTAAAGATGATTTATTTGTTCTATTTCATTAATTTTTCATATTAAAAAAATTTAGGGAACATCGTTGAGGCTCTGTGAATACAAAATTTGTTAAGTAATTAGAAAATATTTATATCTTAACATATTTCAGTTTCTTATATTTATAGAAAAGCAGTAAAAGTAGCTATTTTTCTATTACTTTTATTGGGTATTACACATATACTTAACATGTTTGTATCACCAGGTAAAAATTACTGAAAGAAAAAAGTATTATTATTATTTCTTTTTTCAGATCATCAGTCACTTCCTTTGTTTGCTTTATATTGCTTGGTGACAAACGTTTTGATGACATTTCAAGGTTTTTTTCTGTTCATTATTTTATTGTTTCTCAAATACTAAAATAAAACTTTGCTCGTGTTGATGGTATGAGCATAGAAGCTGGTCTACTTTTCACTACATCACACATACTGATACTCCTATTCACTCAATTAGTCTTAGGTACCCTCAAAAGACGAATTAGTCACTAGTATTTACATTTGATCTAAAATAGCTTCGCTATGTCCAAGTACACCGTAAAATCAATGAACATCACAGCCTATCTAGCTGGGACTATTAGGCGCATAAAATATAGCATACAAGTGCGACAAAATGAATAGATTATTGGAATATTGTCTCTTACTCGAATAGCTACTGATCGTCAGAAAAATATCATAGTTTAACACCATCTTAAGCTGTTGAGTTAGAGCTGACGCAATTCTGAACATCGTTGTTAAATTTTGAAATCAGTCGATAAAAATGAAATCTCTACCAAAGAAATAACCATTACCTGTGATCACATGAACATGTTGTTGAGCAGGCACTGCAGGATTTCCATGAGCCATTTAAACTGAACACAATATAACACAATGTTGTTTGAGCTCACAGAAACGACAACTTCTACTTTATTTTCACTATTTAAAGATTACAGTTCGAAACAACAATCGACACTTGTTTTTTTTTGTCACTTAACACCTACAATCTTTCACAATATCAGATTCGTCCTAAACTCCAATAAAGTTCATTGTGTATGAAATGTAAAACTCGTCTACTGTGCGTTGTTGACAAAACTAAGTAGATCGAACTAGAATTTCGATCACGTCGATGACGGAATCTTTTACTTAAAAGACTTTCGTCGATCAATGACAGAAACATTTCTATTGTTAGTTGAATCAATCAACAAGTATGCATGTGATTCATATGAACACGACGAGTAAGTATCGGTCTCAATGTGAAACATGATCAACGAATTTATTGTCGTGCTTATCGGTGCGAGTCAATATATTCGCAACAACGGACGATGTGTTCACTAAAATATCAATTGATTCTTCGAGAAGAAAGACTTCAAAGTGAAACAAAGAGAATAGTTTTCCAAAATAAATCAACATGTCCGTTGTCTCACATTGATCGTCAACTCAATGTGGAACTGTCAATCAAAACCGGTATCAAGTAAAAATCGTACCAACCGACTAGGTTTCGTTGCCATCTCTCTCATTAGAAGATTTCATAGATGATGAATAGCCAAGATTTTTTTAGTCTTATTCAAATACAAAATGGTTTTGTCATTTCATTCTTATGAAACCTTTTTTGGACCAAAACTACAACTTGTATAAAGTATAAACAATGCATTGGATTCAACGTAAAGTTATTATTGAAGCAAGTCGGCAGCCAAAATAAACGTGATGACGATGCAATAGAAGATAAGAATATAAAATGCTTTAACAGAAAAATCAGATGAAATCAAAATTATATTTGTATTGTTGTAAGTTTGTCTTGGATGAAAATGTACAGAAAATGATGTACTCGTTAGTTGTTTGAATTCATCAATACAATGAATGGTACAATTAAACGTTTAACAGATGGAAAACAACAAGATATCTCTTCAACAAAGTAGTCGATTCTATCCAAATAATAACTATTTTGAAGAATACGAACCTGTTCATGCGGTTGCCGTGCATTTCTTTCATCAAACGCAATTTTGAACAAAATTCGATAGATGGAACATGAAGACATGGCATTACTCCCGTGAAAACTATTAATGAGACTTCTCCATCTGATGATTATGTTAAATGTTCTACGTACGACAGATCGAATTTAGACAACAGTCTCAAGCAATATTGAACATTTCAGTTTTAGTGCTTTGATCAGTGAGAAGTGAACATTAATCTGAATAGGATCTACTTTCACAACGATTTTTAGTTTCATAATCATAAATAGCTGTATTGTCAGGTGCTGCAGAATTAATAGATGATTCATATGGAATATTAGCATTGCTTCGGGGGTATATGTGGGTGTGTCCTCTTTGTTGAAGAATTCAAAGAAAAGAGAAGTATTTTAAGAAAATCTTAGCCTTCGTATGTGGTATGTGTTCTTTTGTCCCTGCAGCACTGTAGCTCTTATAACATGACACACACTGACAATTCGACCGAACTCACTTTGAACTGTTATGGCATCGGCGACCAGCTACGACAATCGATTGGACAGCCAACCATTGTTGACTAATTTCAAAGAATTTGTTGGAGCTATTGCCACATAGTGCATTTGATTGGAAGAAAACTTTGTTGTCGAATATGCCACGACTGAAATTCAAGCATAACACGAGTAAGATACGAATTTCAGTGCTAGATCACTGTGACCAATTTTAATACGTGCGATATCAACTAACATCACTATCATTGCACTCGATTTCTGTGCACACGCAATAGAAATGTTACATGAGCCGAGCGATATCATCAGTAGATACAGTACAGAACACCGAGGTTTGTCTTATGCCAGATTGATGAAGTTGGTAGTTTTCCGGGGTGTGGGTGTGAGTCTTCCGCCGTTTATATCCACACCCACCCCATCCCCACACCCACCCACATCCACACACCCACACCCACATTCACACCCTTAAAAAATAAATTTTAAAACTATGGAGAAAATTTTCGAAAGAAAAATGTACAAAATTGATGGACGGGTGTGGAGCTACATGGATAATATGTTTGCAGCCACACTCGCACCCTCCAAAAGTCTAGGGAAAATGTAAAACTCCTCCCTCAAAATCTCTGTACTTAGCAGTTAGCTTTGGTTCTAAATCTTTCAAAATCTTAAAGCTGGACAGTATATTCGCAGATGACTGCACCGCACATAAAATTAATAATTAAATATTGTTATTTGTCAGAGAAAACTGTTTGCAGTCAACGAAATGGTTGTTTTGTTGACTAGAATCTATCTAGGATATCAATGGATTCCCTCGACTATGAAAGTTAACTCTTAATTTCTTCATGAGAAACAGCGCAGGCCAGCCTATGGGATGCCCATGCATCGTTCATCTAGTTCAACATCTTCTCAACTACTATGAACAAAACGATAAAAGATGGTGACACCTTCTCATATGAATACCTCTGAAATCTCAATGATGTGACAGCATACCCTTACATTTTTGAATGTCTTGATCTATATTCCAGAACTGGAGAAAAGATATATGAGAAATAAATATAATTAAGATTTTTGAAAACATATAAAACCTTATTTCTCTCAGACTTTTGTTTTTCGACTATTTTGGGATACGGATAATCTAAGAGGTTGCATTGATAAAAAGTAAAAGTCAGGACAAGTCATTTGGAAATAATTTCTTTCCATAGTATGAGGATACAAATTTTGGAAACAATATTTGATTGAAAAGAATAATTTTGTGTACTGTATTCAGAGAGATCGACTGATGTAAATACTATAACTATTTTTATGAAACAGTAGAAGTAAATACAATGGAGTTTTTATTAAAAAAAATTAGGGTACGGTGTCAGAAAGCTTAAAATAATTTATTTAAAAATAGCTTGATTATAGTAATACAAAATATAGCAGGTATAAATTCGAGAACTCTTTTATTTTCTCTTTTTGACGGACGCTCTATTTTTCGTTTTCGTAATTCTTTTTTCTTAATTTAACATTTGTATTATTATAAGCATTGAATTAAGTGGCAAATAAGACTGTTCTATATACAGGGTGTCCCAAAAGTCACCTACCAAAAAGAAAATTGCATATCTCCACTGTATTCTAACCAAATGAGCTGATTTTTTTCCTGATGATAGAGAAAAGTTCCAAGTTGTTATTTANCCCCATAATCGGCCCGAATAACACTATGTTTTGTCCTTACAATAGTGGAGAAAACCTTCCCTGATTCATTTTTATACCTAAATTTCACATTTCATAACTCCTGCTAGAAGCAACTTGGGCACGAACTAACTTAGGGTATATCACTCCTAGCTATGCCCTATCTAACCATCATATCCCCGACTGAAAAGCTTTTTGACACCTCGGGTGGTTCCCTCGTTAGATATAAAAATGTTTTCACTAGATTCCAACAAAATAAAATGATTCGAAAATTAAATGTTTTTAACGAAGTTGATAGATAAAAATTTAGTTGCCAATAGTAAAATTTTTTGATTGTCCATTGTACTGTCGACGACCAGCAGAATTTTTTTAACACCTACATGACGTAACCGATAAAGATCTTGTCCAGTTTGTTGTGTTGTAGGAATGTCCCATTCAACTGTAATAATACTATTATCTATGAATTGTCGTTTCCATAAGAAATGAGTTTCTAAATCATCATCTGTTAATATTGTTACCCATGTTTGATTAAGTAATCGATCAACATATAAAAATGATTTTTCTGTAAAAAGATCATTTCGTGGATTAGCTCCCCACCATATGTAGCGAACTGTATCACCAGGTTTATATGTTGAATCAACATCAGTTATAATATCGCCGAAGTTCTTGTCAATCGGTAGACCTATCAAACAAAAGTAATCATAATTCTATATGTTTAAGGAAAATTCAGATTTTGAAGAGATATCTTTTCGAAAGAAACACTTTGTTTTTTTTTTAATGAAATATATTCATAGTAACATACCATCGGGAATTGGTGGTAGAACAAATGAGAACGTTTTTATTCTCATATCAAATGGTTGTGGATCACTTGGTACAGACTCATTTCGTGCTAGTTTCAATGATGAGTCATAAAATGTTTGTTGATAAGCAGCTAATGTATGTGGACCATATAAAGTTGATGCTCCTTCATATCTTTGTTGTTGATATTCTTCATATGTTGTAATATAATGAGAATAACTATTTGCAAGACCAGCTATTACTATGTGACTATCTGATGTCCATGTTTCCTTTAATAAGTTTGAGAAAATAATTATCAAATGATTTACTTAATAGAATATGAATTGTTAACGAAAGATACAACATCTCTTCAATCATTATTCTAATTGAGAAAGGAAGGGTGTGAGTGTGGGTATTCTTTATAAAGAGGAAAACTGTTTCGTTTTTACCATCACAAGCAGAAGTCCAAAAGACTTAGACGATTTCTACTTGCATTGATATATGCGTCCACAAAAACGGTGAATAATTTTTCATATTTTTAATCTTAGAAAAAAAAAAACTCATAATTTTAATGAACAATTATTTTCATAGAAAATACTAAAACAGCATACACAAGATTTCTATTGATAAATGTTGAGTTTTATAGAGAAAAAAACACAATATTCGGAATTAGTATGCAAAATAATATCAACATAACAATGTCATATTATAAAAACATTTTGTTATTATTTTTCCCATGGAGAAAAAAAAAGAAACATTGTGTTCATTCTACAGAAAAACTTATTTTCAATGTAAATAACTGTTCGTTAAAACTCGCATAGTGATATTTTTTTTTTTGTGTTCTGATTAGAAGAAAAAAAGGTTTTGTCGCTTACTGCATCTTATAAAGCTTGTTTAATGGTTAATTTTAATCTTCTTCCACTCATAGTTGTAAATTCTCCGGGAACTGCCACAATAAATAATTGTCCGATTTGAAAAATTTGATAAGGTAAAACAAAAGAAACCCATTCGATTGGTTTAGTAAGACCAACCTCAAGTAAAATAGGTTTGGGTGCTTGACATCGAATTTGTTCTTTAGTTGGCTTAGCTAAAAATGATGATACAAATCGCCCAAAAAATATTTGTTGAATTCGCTGATTGTGTAAAATCAAAATCTCCTGGTCCATCTGTTGTACCAGCAGCAAATGCATAGCCAAGTGCAGCTTGACATGTTGTTTCATTACGTCCTGTTGATGTAAAATGACTACTTACATTTATTGTCTAAGAAAACAAAAAAACAAGATCAAATCGAATGTTTTTCATATTTAAATTAAAATGAAAATTTTATTGTTTACTTGCATATCGACATAAGTATGTCGAAAATTAACAATACCATTGCCATTTATAAATACTTGAGCTTTGTCATATAAATCTTTGGCTGCTTCAAATTGCCTTTTTCCAATAATTTCATTGGATTCATACAGTTTTTCCAGGTCCAAAAGCAATACATTTTTCAGATCTTCCATTACAAGTTGATGTATAAAATTCACATGGTAAACCAGTATCAATACATTTTGGACCCATTAAATTAGGACTAACATCACCTTCATTACTTTGTCCAAAAGCAGCAACAAATGCTCCTTGACCTGATAATGTTCCTGATGGATTTTTTAATTTTTCAAATAAATATGAAGCATAACCTTTATTATCACCAGCAACTAATAAATTTGTATTATTTAAATTAACAGCATGAACTGGATAGAAATTAATCATACCAATTTCATTTTTTCCATCGATTGATTCAAATCTTAAAATTGTCATTTCATGATCTGTATTATATGTATATTCTCCTTGATCAATATTATTCATATAAGACGCTGGAGAACGATTTATATTAGCGTTATCAATTTGTCCAATATTTATTTTAATTCTTCCAAGTTAAAGATTTTTATGCGCATGTATTATGGATTGAACAATACCATTCACACATGCTTCCCAATTTTCTTTAACAAAACCTAATGTTGTAATATCAACAAGAGCAGTACCATCTGTTCCACCAGGTGTTGAATGCGTATGTGTACCAGATATTAAAACATTTTTATCAGTGTATAAATTTGGTCCAAATGTTTTATTTAAACGATCAATAACTTCTGTTTTAACGATTTGAAATGCCATACCATTATCAGCTGATACATAAACGACACGATTTTCTTCGTTATTAACACCACCTATTATAAATGCACGAGAATGCATTCGTTGTAATAAACCATGGTCTCGTTGTTTTGGAACTGCATAACCCATAAAACCAACTAACATAGAGAAACAAGATTCAATATTCATAAAAAAAAAACACTTATTTAACTAACAAAAAATATCTCCAAGATAAAAAAATTTACTTTCTGCAACTTGTCCAGTTATATCATAAATTTCAGCACCAATCTGAAATAGTATTCTAATGTATAGCTGTATCGCAGGACAGATTAAAATTCAGTTTATTTTGAAAACTTCCTGGTTAGGATCATAACTATTTTAAAGTTTTCTAGGAGGATTTCAAATTGAATTAGTAGTTCTGATCAGAGAATATTTTAATCTGAACTAAATTTCAGTTTGTCTTACGACATATATTTTTAAAAAATTTATTTGCTGTTTACTTACTAAAAATTGTCCAGGATCATTTTGCTTTGCTGTAATAAAATTAATCAATGACAGAATTAAGACGAATGTTGACGCATTTAAACGAACTTTTATCATAATTGATTGATAGAAGAATTTTTTTTATTCGATTCTGATGTTTTTTCAATCTAAAAACATTATTTAGATTTTATTCATTTTTTTTTGCTTTCTTTTCGGACAATCCAGGTATTAAATATACATATCCTATTGTGAATTTTTACTAGTTTTTACTCTTTCTTTATCTATACATGCAAACTTTTCAATATATAAAATGTTTTTAAATTTCGGCATTTTCTTAGTCAGTTTCTTTTCCTTACGGGTTCTGCTTCTATTGTTGTATATTTTTAAAATGATATTTGCTTGTTAACGATGTAAAATGATACTAAAGAAAAAGAAACAAACATAAATAAAGATAAGAAGATAATGTAACAAACATTTTAACTTTATTTGAATATTGTGATAGCAACTACCTTTCATTCTATTCATATTTAATAGACTAGATAGTTTTTTAAACTACATTTTCTAAAGACAAGAATATTCTAATGCGTCATATAAAAATATCCAAATTTCTACTTACAGAAAAAAACAACAAACAAGTTAAATAGTAAAGTTAGAAATTAGAACAATTTAAAGTGAGAACTATTTTTTGCTTACAACTATCAGTATAATCTATTTATTGATGGTTATCACTTTAAACAAAACTTCATGATTACAATTCACTTAACACCCAAAAGCTAGTACTATCAATAGAGAAGCACTTTGATAATATGGCAAATGAAATTTTTAATCAGTCATACAACTAACATTTTAGCACCTTCTGTTTTCTAATGAAATAGTTTATCATTCATCTGCTAGGTGATTAATTGCGACAGAATCTTTCATTCCTAATCGTGTTAAAAAAATCACTTTTTGCTCATTAGATTAAAACACGAGAATATCGTGTCATCCAAATAAAACACTATTAGAAATCAAAAAATGTAAATGGGATTTTTGTTTACGCGCAATCTAGAGAAAAAAAAGGAATGTTTGTATTGTTGTAATAAATTGACACCGGAAAATGTAACAACTCTATTATTCTGACTAGTATTTGACATTGGAGGATTGTCTTGTGGTAACCTTCGAATGCTTCTGAAACTGTGGTACATCATGAAAGTGGTTGAAAAAGTTTCAAAAATCGATATGGGTTTCGGTTCATACGGATGTGGATGAAGACAGAATCTACGTTCGGCTGAAATTAAAGTGATACTGGAAAAATGTCTCAACAAGCACCATCATAAAGTAACAGCAAGAAAGTTTCTTTCCATTTCAAGTGACTGAGTAAACTTTATTCGTTAATATCATACGAGTCATCTGACTGTCTCTCTGCACGAAGAAATCGATTTCAACCAATTCCTGCCACCATTCGACGAATGAAGTCATCAAATAAACTCAATAAAATCGTTGGTAATTTAGGTTCAACTATTCTCTTATCTACGATTTAAAATCATATGATGTGTTGTTATTTTATAGAAAGGTGTCACAAAACGAGATGCAGATATGCCTCGAGTTCTCCATATCCATGAATTTGACGACGAATTCCTTGAATGTACATTGGGTTCAATGATTAGTTAGGACACGTATGCGAGTTAACTTGGAAAGATCACCAACGATAACAGTATGTCAAAATTATTCATCAGGAAGAGAGATAAACGTATCAGGGTCATTGATTTCGGGCTCCGATTCTGGCTGGAGCTGGCCGTATCTGCTGAACTTCTCGCAGGATCCCGTCGGAACACACTAGACACTTGAAAGCAGTATTCCGAGCCGGAAAAGCATCGTACCGGAGAAGTCTTTTTTCCAAGATTATCCCGAAGTGTAAAATCAACAGAAAACTGCCCGAAATTCAACGTATACGACTTGAGCTAAACGATTTAAATATTAGATTGCAACTGGCTTCGATCGTTCCTCCAGAGTTTCCGATGTGCATCTGTCGGAATCTATCATATTTCCTCGATGGATCCGCTCAGGTTTCAGAAGGAATCATTCAGTTTTGAACAGCATCTCATCGATCAATCGCAGAATTCGAATACTTCAAGGAACACTCGACCTGTCTATTTGAAAAACTGCAGATCGAAATTTAGTTATCTTATTTTTCAGTAAATACTTAAAAGTGGATCGGAAATTCAGTTAAACGATCATAACTCGGTTCAAGAGACTCATAGGCACGAACACTTTAGCGATTTTTCTAGTCTTACCGAAAGCTCCTCGTGAATCTGATATAAGCTAAAACGGCAATTTTCAGCACGGGTGGTTCCCTCATAAATAAAACATTGTATTTACAAAAAAAAGTCCCTACTATTTCGTTCCTACTTGTGTTTATGAACACATATAATTCTTTGTATACATGAAAATTGAAGTAATGAATAATCAAGAAGTAACTTCATAAAATGTTTGTGAATTTCTAGTCTATTAAAAAGTCATGAACCACTTTGAAAATATTTGATTAGTATGCAGTACAGGAGACTATTGCAGGAAAAAACGACAATTTTTTCTATGCAAACTTATTGTCCTAGCTTCTAAAAGTTCAACTAATCACTTCTAAATCAGAGGTCGTATAGAAGTGTTGAACCTATATTCAAAGACAATACAAAAATGTAATTCAAACAACTCATCAATTATTGTAAAAAAACTTGTGTCATATTGCATATGATAAAGCTTTTCCTATTCAGAGTAGACTCTGCAAAGCTGAAAACATCCTATCACTGTTTGTCTTAGGGAACTGCAAAGTGGTCCGGGTCCCGGTTCCGGCGGGACCGGGACCAAAATTTGACTTTTTTACGGGACCGGGACTAAAAATTTTTCACCTTGNTCAATGAGAAATGACTTTTGTTTCTTGATTTCTAATCTAGAATTTTATCTTTGAATTAAGCTGCTATTGTTATTCATACAAATTGATTTCTATGCTGATAATGTTCATTAAATGAAGTTGAATATCTTCACTCAACTTCAATCGAATTTTGATCCGAGGATTAGTGAATCGATCAGTTTTTGTTTTGACTGTTGGATGTGCATCTTCTTCAAATATTTTTTCATCATGAAAGTGAAGCCCGATGCTCCAAAATGATGAAGCGAACGGTTCTCTTCGGATTCCTGTCGGGATGATTCTATTGGTAGACAACCGAGAGAAACAAATACGCTCAATCGAGTAGACCTATCTATTGTAATTCTTGCGCATGGTCAGCCAATGACACATGGAGGCATATTAGAAAAATATGTGGGCAAATGTTAGTGAGATTCTAGGCGTTGTCTCCGTTGATGCTCACATTTATAATCGACCTTCTAATTCAGAATTGGATTAGAGTGGTGCAACAAATTGTCTGATCAAGAGATTGTCCTAGTGCCTCAGTTTTCTTGTTGCGTATATATGAGCTTGAGAATGTGGATGTGAGTGTGGCTCATAAAAAACCCCATACTTACATCCACACCCATCAACAATAAAATAATCCTTTTGAAGGATAAAAAATGAAGAAGATAATTTTTTAAAAATGCGTTTTAATTATACGAGTTTCTGCTTTTTTATCTTTTTCTATAGTAATTAAACTGAAATAAATTAGAAAAATGATATAACTCCTATAAATTCATTCTTCATAATCAAAATAATTTCAGAAATAAAATAATAATAACAGAATCAATATGATCTAGATGCAGCATATTACATTCTGTTATTATTGTGGACGTCAAAATAGAATGTACCTCGATATTTTTTAATTATCTGGGGAACGAAAACAACTAGGGTATTAGTGCTGTCTGCATCTTTTTTATATCATACACCCTATCCACACTTCCACAAGAGCTTTGCCCAAGGTCTATTCGAATTCCATGCATGAGTTCTTAACTTTCAAGAAACTCAAGAAGCACCTGAAAAATGATCAATCCTAAGATAGAAAAGTACAGAATCTCCAGAGAAGCCTAGGTACCCACAGAATTCATGGAATCTAACGAACTTTAAGGACTGAGGAGGCCAAAGAAATCCATGAAGTTCCAAGGGATCAAGAAACGCAATGAGTCCGAGGAGAACGTGGATGTGGATAATGTAAAACCTATCTTTATGCACAAATTCATCCAGGCACATAAACATTCACGCCGCCTGGGTCTCCAACATCTTAAAAATTATGATTCATTACTTGATGAATTAAGAAAATGAATTTGTCATCTAACAATATATAATCCTACTCGTAACATCTGCCTCTTATTATGCTTCATCCATCAGAATTAGACAATTTATTGAGTAAATATTCGTGAGTAATAATTACAAACACTAGTTCAAGATTTACTTTTTTTGGTCATTCGTTACTATCTTCATGGTAACGATCATCTTTAACTTATATTGTCATTCTTTATTTGGAATTTTAATATGACAGAATGAAAATGTAGAACTACAAAAAAACAGCGGAATCATTCAAGTAAGAATTGCAATTGTAATACTATTTTCCTTTAAAAGACCAGGTAGAAAAGATGAATTATTATCATTATTTAAATATTTAAAATTAACCAAAACTGACATAGAATGTGTGAAAAATGACAAGAACGAATAGAATAATAATTCTTGTACATATAACCAAAACTGATATGACTTTTTGGAAAAAAAATATGTGTACAAATAGAGGCAAATTCGATTCATCATTGATTGTCAGCTGCAATAAAATAAAGAATAAAAAAAAAAAGGTTCTATATCATAGAGTTTTTCCATTTAATTGTATAAAGCTTATTACAATCTATTTGAAGTTCTAAATATATCCAAAAAATACTTTATTTAAATAACACTTGTAAATGGTTGTATTTTTGAAGAGAGTTTTACGAAAAATTTTCATCAAAATAAAATCTTGAATAAGATATTTATCTTCCAAGGTGTGGAGTAGAATATAAAAACAATTCATTCATGAGTCTTCCGATTTTTATCAGAATGTGTTCTTAATTATTGTTAGAAAGATTATTCGTCAAGAGATTTGATTTTGAGTTCTAAAATTAATACAGTTCGTGCTAACTTTGATTCTTAATTCAGCACTAAATAATATTTTTCTTTTTCATTTACCTGTACTTTCGATCTCTCGACTTGAACATGGATTATAATGGATCAAATTGACTCATTACAACTGTGATAGTTCCTCTTACCTATCTTTGTCTTGCTTTGCCGTGTATGAATACTTTAGTTCGTTTCATGTCAGTTCAACCACTTTTCAAGACACATTACGCCAATTGCACATAAAACTAAGTGGTGGTTCCTCCATTAGTCGTTCTCTTGTATCAACGTCTGTTTTTTTCGATTCGAATGGTTAATTTACATATATTTACTTTTGTTCAAATATTTTTCTTCGAGTTAACAATTTAATGAACAATATTCAAAAATTTGCCTTCTTCTTCAAAGTTCCAATGTGTCCATTTTTATTAATATTAATGATTTAAATCGTATTAGTTCATCATCATGCCAATTCTCATAATTTGCTTTTAATCTTATCAATTGTCCTCAATATATGAGCATAACTATATATATACCACGTTATAATCAATTTCATCCACGAGAAATAATCGGTGCGACATCCATTGTTAATTATTGGCCTAATAGATCAGAATGGCTCAACGATAGCGATCCTTTTGTAAGTCTTTGTCAAATTATATTTTTGTGCATTGTATTTTAATACAAGACACAAATGAAAAGGGAATCGTTGTTCTTTAGTACACTTCGAAATATAACTCTTGCGAATAGTATCAATTGTCTAAACAATTAATTATTCTTCATTTTCAACAACTATTCGTTCTATTCGTATTCTCATTTTTCATACTTATCCTAATTTTATACTGCCAAACTGGCTAGTAGTTTCACATTCACTTTCAAAATTGCTACAATTGAGCTCGTTTTATGTTTTTATTTATAATTTACCAGAAACACAATGACGTGTGAATTAATAAATCTAACAACAATCAATAAATAATGATGTACATATTCTTCTATACTCAATGGCAGTAAATAACTGAAAACTATGAGAGAATTTGGTTGTGAGTATGAATATGAGAGCGAAGACGTAGCTGAAGCACACACACTGCGACATCCAAAAACAAGGCACCACCAGCCTACACCCAAACATTGCTATATTTTGACTTTTGTAATGCAGGAATTTGAATACCCTGAGTCGAACCATTTTCTTACTCAATGTTTTTTTTTTCATCACTTCAAATAAATCACCAATCTTGGTCGAAAGCGTCCGAGCTGTTTTTCTTTTCTATCTTTAGAATCACTTAAATATCATTTGATCAAGTTCTTAAGCAATCCTGATACGGTGTCGCTGAACACTGAAAAAATTTTCGGATATCTTCACAATTGTTGACATTACGATACTTCATGAGAAGTGACATTCGAAGTCATGACTACGAGATGACATTTTATGCGATAATGCTAGCTTCTCTGAAGATCGCTCAAAATCCAGTAAAGAAGGAAAGTTTTGCGCCATGAACCACTGATCGAACTTCCACAAAAACTTGCGAAGACATTTGCTATCTATCAATCAGCTATTGCTACTGGTTTTATGCCATACAAATATCGATAGTACGCAACTGATTCATTTTTTATTTTTCTTCGATTTTAGGTCTACTTGTACAATCTGTGACGATCTTACGTGGGAGCTTTAGGACTTTCTACGAGGAAAATTTTTTGTACGGGGAAAGTTTACATTCATTCAAAAAATATACCTTCAAACAGCAGTGTTAACTCACTTAAAGAACGAAACAACAACAGAAAATAATGCCACGCGCGCGACATGATTCATTCTCTCAAGTTTTATGTTATGAAGAAAATTGTCAAACTAGGAAGTGGCTTACTCTGAATCACGAAAACGAGTTATTGGCCATTCTTTTTCTTTATTAGGAATGAAAAAGAGGGAAAGGTAAGGTAAAAAAGGACTACTAAACATAGTTTAAATAAGGTGTTCTTGTGCTGGTCCTTCTTATGTTAGTATCATGAATGTGGTTATTATGATTTTTCCTTCCACGTGGTCATTATTCACAGGTAGTGACATGAAATTTAAAACAATATTTACTTGAAACGATAGAAATATAAAGAAAAAAGGTCTATAGAAGGCAATTTCATTCCATTTTTTTTTATTTCTCTCGCTCTCCATCGAAACGCAAAACATTACAAAAAATGTAACTCACGAAAAATGAAAGCTTGTATTTATTTTTAAACAATTTCGTTTCAATTTCAGTCTATCGGTAGCAACATAATGACCTGCGGTACAGAGCACCAGATGAATGATTCTTTGATTTGTCCTCTAACTCAACAATTGTTCTCGGTTCCAGTCCTTGCCGATGATGGCTATACATATGAAGAGTCTGCGATTGTTAAATGGATTCAAGAAAATCATACAAGTCCAAAGACAAGACAAAATTTGTCCGTTGAAGGTTTGCGTCCTAATCGCCTTATCAAAAGTTTAATAGAAGAATTTGAAAATTCATTGCGTTCCGTTGATTATCGTTTTAAGTTGGATGTTGACGTACGGAAAGAACGTAATGCAATATTTCACATAAATACTAAGTCTATATTTCGTGCTCATTGGATAACACGTCGAAATGCTCCGCCAACAATATTATTGAAAATGAATGGTGTGCGAGCGAAAAGAGAAGCATCATTTTGCGTACAATTGAGTCGTCACCCACATATTATACGAACATATGGAATGGTCGAGCCAACACCTCAAGATTCGATAATGTTACTTCAAGAATATGCTCCAGAAGGAAGTCTTCATGACCTACTTGATGATCAACCAAGAGTACCGGATGAAATGATTTTGATTGAGATGTTTTCACAAATAACAGATGCCATGACTTATCTTGCACATAACCATGTGACTCATGGAGATTTAGCATGTAGAAATATACTAGTGTTTCGTTTCAATAAGTACAAACCTGAGGATAATCTTGTTAAATTGACTGATTTTGGTCTTACTCGACATAGTTCTATATATTTATCAGTTAACAATGAGTCAGTGGTAAATGATTGCATTCCAATACGTTATGCATCACCGGAATTGATTCAACACCAGAAATGTTCTGAAAAATCAGACATTTATTCGATGGGTGTAACTATGTGGGAAGCATTATCAAAAGCTAAAATGCCATGGTCTCATATTGAGACGGACAGAGAAATATGTCAGCGTGTGACCTCAGGTGAAAATTTGCCAAAGCCCATTATGTGTAGCGATGAAACATGGTCGGTAATTTTGACCACGATGACTTTCAATGCACAAGAACGACCAACATTTTCCCAATTGAGGCGTTCACTGACAAGACTACAATACCAGCTCGAAACTATACCTAGAAGTCACACTGAACTAATGAATAAATTTCAACAAGTACTTCAAGTGGAAATGAATGAAATTGTTATAGGCATTGCTGTCGAACAAACTCTTGTAAATTCAAGTGGATTAAACATTCATCAAACAGGTGCAACATTTCGACGTAAACCCGACACTGATATTACAGTATTTCGTTTGAGAATACCTAGTGATAATGATTTAAATAGTTTTACACGTTATTATGGTGAAAACATTAAGAATTTAATAATGCAATACGAAAGAGAAGCAACAACTGAATGGGTAAATATACATATGAACACAAGCATCTTGTATAACCATATGGTGTCAATTATTTGGAAGTAATAAATATTGTTGTTTAGCCAGCATAATAAATAAGCTCCGATCTAATTTGTTCTGTCGATGGTAGCAGAGATCACTACCTTTGACATTTTCGTACTCTCAAACTCTTAGAAGAGAATCTCTCTTATGCCAAATGGCTTTTGAACCGAGACTATGCATATTTGATGAGTGATAGTGAACAAGACAAGAAGTTCATGAGGTTTATCATTTCAATCGGAAAAGATTAACAACATGTCTCTACTCTCCTGAGTCATTTAGATTTGCATCCTTTGTATACATATTCTTAGCCTGTTTTTATATATGTCTGAATCTGTTCGTCTGCATCTGTATGTCCTTTGGGATATCAGTAAAATACACGACTTTGAACGATTCACTCCGACCCACTTTCATTCAGATCTCGATGAGAAAAATAATTCTCGCAACAGAAGAATTAGGAAAGTCATTCATCGATATATTTGAACTTATTTTCCTTAGAATTAACAGAGGGTTCACCAGATCTCTCTGCCTTATATATAGGCCATCGAGGAAAAAACATTTTTCGATTTAGTTTACTCAAATGAAAAGTCTAATCAAGTCATAGTCAAACTTAAAATATTAACTCTTCTATTTTTATCTGTAAGAGACGCGAGCTGAAACAAGTCCGAAGGGTTCATTTTGACTTCCAAGAAACCACAATATTGAGGGTTTGTCCAGTGTTTTGATATTATCTCATGAATGTATTTACTGGTTCAATTCAAAGGAGTCTCGTTTGATGAAAAACAGCAGCCTCGTCTAAAAAATTCATTCTAATTATTATAGTGACTAGCAAACCGAATGAAAAAGTGTCACAGATTAAATGCTGTCGAAAACTCGAGAAATGTGTCCTTCCGACACAGTGGTATATTGAACTTCTCTTGGGTGATGCATGAAGACTTACGGTTATTTTTTTTTACTAGACATACGTTTCGTCAAGATATATCTTTCGACAGTAATTATTGAGTATAGACTACACGTGCACCAAAACCGAACAGTTCGAGTTTCAATGTGAGTGTGATGAAAATAACGCTAACACCCACTCACACCCTTAGAAAACACTGTGAGGAATTGAACTTGGCTTATCTCCCTCATTTAAAGTAAACATCAAATAATTTTATTATTGGAAATTTTTCTATGAAACCAATAGGATAATAAGTGTCGCCTACTTTTATCATTGTTTTGATAAAAATTGACAACTTCTCTTCAGTCTTTACTGATTTGTAATGCATAACACTATAAATGGTTGTTATGAAATCTGGCTGAAAAGGCAACTATTAACAGCATGGTAGATCTGAGAACAACATCATTTACAAAAATTAGATTTGAACATTGCTTGAATGTGCTCAAATAGCTAGTCTTTTTCATATCTATAATGGATTTAATATACTACGTAGTAAAGTCTTTCAAACTTGTTAATACTAAAAAGAAACAATAAAGAAGTTGCTCGGGTTTGTATCTTAAAATGAAATGTGAGTTTATCAAGAGTTCAATCGATTTCTGCATAGAATTAGAGACATCATGGTAAATTTCTATGGAAAAGTCTTTCACTGAATTTATCTCGTTTTATCTATATGTAATTTAAACAATATTTGTCAAAAAGCAAAAAAAAAACAAAAAAATTTTTAATCTTTTGAATCTAATCATACAACATTATTTATCGTTTAAGACAGATATTTGATCATATAAAGAATTTAGACAAAATGTATGCAAAACTTTTCTTTCTTTATTTATTTTTTTTTCGTTGATAAGCAATGAAGATCGATCTAACTATTTCTCTAAATATGATCTTCTGTGGGATAAAGTTTACTTAGAAATCTTTTTTTCAAATACAAAGAAAAGTTATCACTACAATCAAACAAAATAAAATAAATGGAAAATAAACTATTTTTAACAAAATTTAGTTGTTAATTGTAAAACTTTTAGATTGTGCATCGTATTGTTGACGGCCAAAAATATTATTTTTAACACCTAAATGACGTAATCGATAAAGATCTTGTCCAGTTTGTTGTGTTGTAGGAATATCCCATTCAACAGTAATAATACTATAATCTAATAATTGTCGTTTCCATAAGAAACGAGTTTCTAAATCATCATCTGTTAATATTGGTATCCATGTTTGATTAATGAATCGATCAACATATAAAAATGATTTTTCTGTAAAAAGATCATTTCGTGGATTAGCTCCCCACCATGAACAACGAACTGTATCACCTGGTTTATATGATGTATCAACATCAGTTATAACATCACCAAACTTCTTTCCAATTGGTACACCTATCAAACAAGACTAATCATATTATATGTAATGACAAATATATATATATATAATTCGATTGTCAATTTAAAGAGATTTTTTCGAAAGAAATATATTAAAAGTAACATACCATCCCAAATTGGTGGTACAACAAATGAAAATGTTTTTCCTCTCATATCAAATGGTGTTGGACCACTGGGTACGGATTCATTTCGAGCTAATTTCATTGACAAATCATAAAATGTTTGTTGATAAGCAGCTAATGTATGTGGACCATACAAAGTTGATGCCCCTTCATATCTTTGTTGTTGATATTCTTCATATGTTGCAATATAATGAGAATAACTATTTGAGAGACCAGCTATTACTATATGACTATCCGGTGTCCATGTTCCCTTTAATTAAATAAAGAAAATAATTATCAAATGATCTCTTTAATAGAATATTAATTATTAATGAAAAATACAAAATCTCTTTGACAATTATTTTATATGAGAAAGGAAGAGGTGGATTCTGTCTTCCAAAAAACAACGGATATTATCTCGTTTCTAGCAGAAATGGTAAAAAAGATAATATTATATCGAAAGATATAATTTAACATTATATAAAATATTTTGTTATTAATTTTTTCTTATAGAAAAATAAAAAAAAATGAGAACGAATACAGACAAAATGTTGTATGAGAATTCTTTTATGATGAAAAATAGTCCGCCTCTATAGAGATGTGACATTTGTTGTTTTTTTTTTTGCTGTAAGAAATCTCAATGAAGTTTGATTAAAATAAAAATATTTTGTTTCTTACTGCATCTTGTAAAGCTTGTTTAATAGTTAATTTTAATCTTCTTCCACTCATAGTTGTAAATTCACCTGGAACTGCAACAATAAATAATTGTCCAATTTGAAAAATTTGATGAGGTAAAACAAAAGGAACCCATTCAATTGGTTTAATAAGACCAACATCAAGTAAAATAGGTTTAGGTGCTTGACATCGAATTTGTTGTTCAGTTGGTTTAGCTAAAAATGATGAAACAAATTGCCAAAAAACATTTGTTGAATTCGATGATTGTGTAAAATCAAAATCTCCTGGTCCATCTGTTGTACCAGCAGCAAATGAATAACCAAGTGCAGCTTGACATGTTGTTTCATTATGTCCTGTTGATGTAAAACGACTACTTACATTTATTATCTAAGATTTAAAAAAAATAAAAAAAAACAAAGTTAATTCGAATTTTTTTCATATTTAAATTAAAAATAAAGATTTTGTTATTTACTTGCATATCAACATAAGTATGTCGAAAATTGACAATATTATTACCATTTATAAATACTTGAGCTTTATCATATAAATCTTTAGCTGCATCAAATTGTTTTTTTCCAATAATTTGATTTGATTCATACATAGTTTTTCCAGGTCCAAAAGCAATACATTTTTCAGTTCTTCCATTACATGTTGATGTATTAAATTCACATGGTAAACCAGTATCAATACATTTTGGACCCATTGTATTCGGACTAACATCACCTTCATTACTTTGTCCAAAAGCGGCAACAAATGTTCCTTGACCTGGTAATGTTCCTGGTGGATTTTTTAATTTTTCAAATAAATATGAAGCATAACCTTTATTATCTCCAGCCACTAATAAATTTGTATTATTTAAACTAACAGCATGAACTGGATAAAAATTAATCATACCAATTTCATTTTTTCCATCAATTGATTCAAATCTTAAAACAGTTATTTCATGATCTGTATTATCAGTATATTCTCCTCGATCAACATTATTCATATAAGAAGCTGGAGAACGATTTATATTAGCATTATCAATTTGTCCAATATTTATTTTAATTCTTCCAAGTTGAAGATTTTTATGTGCACGTATTATTGATTGAACAATACCATTAACACATGCTTCCCAATTTTCTTTAACAAAACCAAATGTTGTTATATCAACAAGAGCAGTACCACCTGTTCCACCAGGTGTTGAATGTGAATGTGTACCAGATATTAAAACATTTTTATCTGTATATAAATTTGATCCAAATGTTTTATTTAAACGATCTATAACTTCTGTTTTAACTATTTGAAATGCCATACCATTATCAACTGATACATAAACAACACGATTTTCTTGTCTATTAACATCACCTATGATAAATGCACGAGAACGCATTCGTTGTAATAAACCATGACCTCGTTGTTTTGGAACTGCATAACCCATAAAACCAACTAACATAAATAAACAAAGATTTAGTATTGATAAAAAAAAAGCAATTATTTCTCCAAAATCAAAAATATTTTAGTTTTAAAAACATGAATTATTTGATTTAGGAAAAAAAATAAAATTTACTTTCTGCAACTTGTCCAGTTATATCATAAATTCCAGCACCAATCTAAAATATTATTCTCTAATATTATATTTGAAAGTTTCAATTTTTTATTTTACTTACTAGAAATTGTCCAGGGTCATCTTGTTTTGCTATAATAAAATTAATGAATGATAGAATTAAAACGAATGTTGATAAATATAAACGAATCTTCATCATAACAGATTAATAAAAGAATTCTTTCGATCTAGAAACATGATTTTAATTTCATTTGTTTTTTTTTTCTTTCTTTTCTGACAATCTAGGGATCAAATATATAATATATACCCTAGTGTGAATTTTACTATGTTCAATGTCTTTCTTTGCGTACACATACAAACCTTTTATAATATACAAAACATTATTTCATAGTATAAAAATAGTTTTTAACTCTCGACATTTTCTGTAACCAGTAATACTGTTCGAGTTGCTCTCTTTATCTCAGATTCTACTTTTACTGTTTGCTTGTTAACCAAGTAAAATGATATCAAAGACAAAGAGAAAAACATAAATAAAGATATGAAGATAATGCAACAAACATTTTAAATTTCTTTAACTATTGTGACACCAGCTATTATTTACTCTATTCACACCCTATAATTTACATGTTTTCACAATGTAAGTTTCTTAAAGATAAGAACGTTCTAATGCGTCATTTAATAATATACAAATTTTATTAAAGATATTATTCCTAATTTCTAGTTAAAGAAAAAACAGCAAATGCACTTATGAATGTTTCTCGGTTTGAATATGACTACGAACAAGTTAAACAATAAAACTAAAAAGTAAAAAAACATTTAAAATAAGAAATATTTTTCACTGAAAACTATCAGAAAAATACATCTCATTGTTATAAAAACTTTATAATGAATTCAATGTAAAATATATGAATGAAAAACACAATTGATAGAGACCTATTTTGGATTTGGGCATCGGTTTTGTGTGTCAGTGATTGAAGAGGATCAAATACACACCCACACCCACACCCACACCCCGAAAAAAAGCATCCTCCGTAATATATGTTATGATTCAATGACGACATTTTTTTTTGTTATCACTCATCATAGAAAACCAAACAACGAAGTTCAAGACTTTTCTGTTCTTCAGTTGGCATGGACCCATCACCATTTTTAAAAGTCGTATGGAAAGCGAATTGAGCAACGTCAGGCTCGCTATCGAATATTTTAAAGACAAACATTTCATCGGATCGCATTGGACTCAAATAGTACCATACGTGGGCATCTTGAGCATTGCGAGACAATGTGTAGGCTGTAGAATGATAACCAGCTCCTTGAATTGTGAGTGGGTGAACATCTTTATTGACATCAATAGAGCGGTAATCACAAATTGTCAATGGCTTGTCTGTAATTGGATTTGCACCTAACGGACGCCAGACGTTGACCAATTGAATTCGATTTTTCTTTGCTCTTTCAGCTTCTTCTTCGCCAAGCACATGTTCTACAAATCCTTGAACTCCAAATGAATCGATATCAACGTGAGGATAAAAGACAGGATTTCTATGAGTGCCATCAAGCTGCTCATCGGGTCGGGGTGAGCTTCGAGAACGAAAAGTATAGTGATAGATAATCACACGAAAGGCACCCAGTCGCTTCTTGAGAAAATTACTGATCTCTTCATAATAAGTTTTTTGTGCTTCGCTACCTTCTTCAAATTCTTCCTGTATAGAGCCATTGTATTTGACCACTTCGAGACCATTAGTGTCGAGATTGACACTTGTTTCTTTGCCCCGTAAATTCTGAATGGTAACAGGAATAGACGCTTGTACAAAATTTGATCTCATCGCCGTTGGTATTGAAAACGTTACTAACCAAGGAGGGCACTCATCTATCGTAGACGTAAAATAATTAATGTGTCCAATGACGTTGCCAGCCATTTTGATAGATTCAAAATTACAAATACAATAAGATAACGACAGTGTTCGAGAAAAGGTTAGATGGTGTTATGGTTGATAATATGTTGAAAATAAGTGTACGAAAGTATGAAAAGAAAAGAGAAAGAGAGATAAAAATAAAACGATCAGTGTGCAAATGAGTCAAATAAATAAAAGATTGGGGTTCTAAATGATGTGTATATTTTTTTCTTTTTTCATAGCCTATTGTTCTTACAAAGTGATTACTTGACGATACTACTTCATTTTCTTTCTATTATACCTACATTCTTTTTGCTTTGGAGTGTCGTTTGTTTTTATCTATGTGATGAAACAAAAATAGAGATTGGACAATAATATCTCTAGTTTTATTTCTATTTAATAGTCATCGAATGATGACTCAGTTGATCTTAGACTAATGGAACCTTGGGAAATATCTCTAATTTGATTCATTTGACTTAACAGTAAACTTGTTCGATAATTAATCAAAGTGAGAAATTGCTGGTAGAAGCATGAATATAACTGTTTGACATTAAAAAAGTATATAAAATCTGTTCCAGATACAGATGAATTTGAGTTTTTTGCATACTAACGATGAAGTCGAAAAGAGACTTTAAATCGTTCATGGTTCTGAACATGTCTGCATTTAGACTCGATATATTTCTAGTGAAGAATAAGAAAAACTAGATATTTTGAATCAGTTGTATATCCATGTGGATTATAAATAAATTGACGTTGAACATCGTGGAAACTTCTTTGAAAATTGTCTTTAAAAGTCATTCAACGATAATGTTCGTTGACATCAACACAGTTAGATTGATCATCATGTATCAAATCGATGTAAACTTGTAGCTTCGTTTCTTGTTCGTCAAGGTGGATGGTTCGTATTCTAAAAAAAATATTAACTGTGGGAATACATGAGAAGCTAAATAAATCATCGAAAAAGCGGAATATAATGGAAGTCTATAGACTGAAGACTAAAATGAAAATTTTCTCTTCAAAGAATTCATGATGCCTTGCCCAATTCCGCTATCACCAATAAGTAATATTTTGAGAGAACGATCGTATCTCGTTAGGTACACAGCCACATATAAAATACTATGCTTGTTAAGCAATATTCTCGATGGATAATAGATCAGAAGAAAATGATGAAAAAGTTCATGTTAATGATGATGTCTAATTCCATAATACGTAGTGTTTGATTAAATATCAAATAGAGAAACCAATAGTGCGTGTATCACCACATCGAAACATGATCACGATATACTCGCTCGAATTTATCGATATTTTTCAGTTGAGATGTATAGTCGACAGTTATTAATAAACTTTTGAATATGTTCTTGTTCATAGGCAATGTTGATCCAAATATTGTTTCGATGACCAAGCATCTGGCACAGCAAAGCTTATGAAGACCAAGCTTTGGTCGCCTTCTAGAGTCGCTTTTATTATATGAGTAAGATCTGTGAAAACACCTTTTATTGTTGGCCATTATTCAGCATATGGTTCATGCTCTGTATTGTTCTTAGAAGAAAAAAATAAGTTGAGATTACTTGAGAAAAATCTTGAACAACAGAAATAATGCTTTTACTAAGTGTTTCGGAGGCAATCATGAAAACAAATTTCTTTCTCGATATCGATGATGAAGTCGATACATTAGTCGAAATTAAAGAATGAGTTCATGCTATTGATTATTTCATTTAGTTTGACTACTGTAGTATGCCAATTAGTGTTGTTAATTTCATCAATATTTTCATCTAGCCTAACAAAGAAAAAGTTCTGAATGATACGAATCGAAGGTGATTGAGATGACATTTGGTCCGTATATTCAAGAGGCGACTTTGAAGCAGTTATTGATTTTTTCTTGTTTTTTAACATTTACTTTTATTGTCCCTGTAAATGAGGTTGATAAGACAAAGTAAAAGCAGATTACGATTGAACACATATATGAGTAAGATAACTTGAAGACGAAGAGAAGGATAGAAAGTAAAAGTCACATACTTCAAGCAAAAGGAAAAAATACAGATAACGACATCTTGCGATGGTGGAGATAAGAACAAGGTGATTGAAAGAGATGATAGAAAGATAAAGATGAAAACTGATTGATAATACTGTCATATATCGAGAAAGATTGATTAACACGTAAAAACTAAAAACAGAAATTTTAACATGTTATATCACACTATATTAACCATAGATGAAACCGGTCTGAAAAACTCAAATCAAACTGGACTGGCCGGTCTATCAGGTTTTTGGCGGTTCATCGATATGAACTAGTACGACTATAATAGATCGATTCTTGCAATGAAGTTTCTTTTAACAGTAAACTCTGCAAAATTTACAACGTAGATCATGAATCTGAAATAGCTGCGGGTTTGTGTACAAATATTTAATATGTAGTTTTCGGTTCAAAATAACATCAATGTTAATATCAATCTATTATTATTAACATTAAAGACAGTGCATTCTTTGTTATGCTAGAGTGTCAGAAACAATGAATTCATTGTGATAGTGTGATGAAGTCACATTTGATGTATTGGTATTACGGTTACTTTTATTTTTGAATAGAAAACCACATATTGAACATTAGCACACAAATTTTGGGATATTTCAGATTTATGATCTAAGCTGGTAACTTGGGAGAATTCACTATTAGAAAAAATTCATTGTAAGAATCGATCCATTATAGGTGTACTGGTAATTATCAGTCGATCAGCAAAAAATCGGTAGACCGGGTGATCGGCTGGTCTAAATTCAGGACCAATCTATTGCTCAAGCTTAATCAAAAACTTTTTTCTATCTGAAACAGAAGACTACTAAGCTTTTATTCGTAAGAAACAAGTTCCTCAACAGTGTAGAACAAGTGACACTTTTGGCTGGAATTCAAAAGTTAGGCTTCTTTTGATACCATTAACAATAAATACCAATTATTTTTAAATATCTACTTGAATTTCTATCATTATTATGAATTTTAGGTCATTTAAATCATTTACCAACGTCAAAATAAGTTACAAGACTACTATTCGTGCAACGCTCTAGCAAAGAAGATGTTTGACTACATGAGCGTCACATATGTTAAAGCATAATTTTATATGAAATCTGATATTTTTAAATCTCGAACTTGCGTGAAGAATATCATAATGAATAAAATAACTTCATTTTCATTCAAAAAAATAATATAATAAATGATGCACAAATGATATTTCATCGAATGTGATTCTATCATTTGATTTGTGTTTCTAATGTATAATGAAATCGATTTCGTCGACTCTTTTACTAATGCTTTTCAATGAACTTATATTACCAGGTCAGAAGAAAATAAAAAATAAAATATTTTCTAGATTTTTTTTTTTTTATTGAAACAGATTCTAATTTAAATTCATTTCTAGTATGTTCTTAGCATGCTGCAAAGAATTTTTCTAGACGTTTGAGACTTTGTCGTGAATAAATTTAAGTCACACAAAATGATGTGTTAACTCGAATTAGAAAAAAGATGAGAACAAAGAACTAATATTATATATTAATATTAAATTATATTTAAATTGAATTGAAGTGAATTAAGTAGAGTTCGTCATTATAGGTCTTAGCAGATTTAAAACAAAAAAAAAAGAAAGGATCTTTAAGCTTATGTTTCCTAGTGTGGTATTTTTATCGATGATTATTTGTTTTCGAATTTGACCTAACTCATAGATGATATGTAAAGTATGATGCTGAAAAAAAAGTATATTGATTTGATTGTTTATAAAAAATACTTTCGAATATCATTTTCTAATGTCAATGCAGAAGAAATTATTTGTGCATACAGTAGAATATGAATAATGTCTATAACAAGTACACGATGTATTTTCTTAATAGAAATGAAAATTAGAATTTATTTTTAGATAAAAGAAAATTATTTTCCAGTTTTGCGCCTAATTAAAAACAAAATTTGCGTCAGTTTATTTTTGCCTGTGACTCTAAGACATATTAAAATCTTTTGATTGACGTCAAATTTTGAAAAAAAAAAACAATTTCAAATGTGGTTTTGTTCGATTTTTATGATCTCAGCAGGTTCTTTTTCAATTTGAAATGATCCTCAGGTGAGTTGAAATGACTGAAATATATTTTTCAATAATCTAAATAACTCGATTTCTGTTTTTTTTTGCGCAGATAAACGATTACATCATAGATATCAAGGATGATGTTTTGATTTGCCACAACTGTCATATGATGACAACACAAAATGCATGGATTGATGAATTTCTAACTTTCGTGAGTAATGAATATTAGTGTTTCTGAGTTCTTCAAGATAGATATTAGATCATTAAGATCTGTTGTAGATATAACGGATGTGAACAACAGAATTATTAGATCATGAAATTAATTGTTAGTCTAATAATAATAAATTATGAAAGTGAATTAAGAAAGAAAATAAAATAAATGCCTTAGAATCAAACTAAATAAGACATTTGAGCTCTATATTTCAGCTCAAAAGGAGCTGCACTAAAAAGCTTTAATGAAATTTCGTATTATACATATTAGAATTAGCATTATAATCTATTGCTTCGATAAAAGAATGAAAATCTTTTGAAATTGTTGAACAAAAGAAGACTCATGTTAGAATATTATCCTACTGTGAACACATAGAATTTTTGATAAAAGGCTGCAAGATCAAAACAAAAAAAATTAAAAAGCTACTTATAAATAATTTCACAGAATAAATCTTATTTTGTGGAACTCACATATATTTTCGAAGAAAATAGTGAGTGCAAGTTTTAAGTTCGAGTTTTTGCGGCTCCCCCCCCCCCTCACTACAGACCTTAGCAATCAATATAAAAGATGTCAGATTTTCTAGTTTTTTTTTTTTTTTGGAAAATTGATCAAGTTATTACTTTGAAAAATAATGAATATCATTATTTGTGACTTGATTTAAGGTATATCATAGTGTGTAAGATCTGCTGTAGATATCATAGATATGTAAAACACACTTATTTGTCAATCAGTTCAATGATTATAATAATAAGAATTAT